GTAAATGTACAGTTTCCAATTAACAGTCGTTCTTTAAAAGTAACCTCGTTGCTCAGTGGGAATTTTTTTCGTCAAAACTTTTAAGTATCCGTACATAGGAACCACGCACGCCTCAAGGCTGAATTTGGAACACTTAAGTTGTACTTGGACTGGGAACATTCCCTCAGAATTTCAGCTTTCCAGCTTTTCTGGTTACCGAGTTAGCAATTTTCCCGCCAAAACCTTTACACGCCCGTACTTGGTTGTGCTTGGAAAGCTGAATTGGAAATTTTTAAATTGCACGCGGACAGGGAACATCCGTCTAAAATTTATACCTTCTAGCTTTTGTGGTTGTCGAGTTAGTAATTTTCCTGCGGGAACTTTCATACGCCCTTACGTGTGTACCATGCATAGTTTGGGACCGAATTTGAAATATTTGAGTTGCACTTGGATAGGGACATTCCCTCAGAATTTCAGCTTTCTAGCTTTCCTGGTACCCGAGTTTGCAATTTCCCCCCTGAAAATTTCATACGCCTTTGCGTGAGTACCACGCATACGTGGGTGCTGAATTTGAAATCTTTAGCTAGTACATGCACAGGGAATATCCCTACAAATTTTCGGCCCCTTAGCTCATGTGGTTCCCGAGATCGCTTTCCCGCCAAAAAATTTGCATATTTTTTTAAAGCGTCCGTACACGGCACCCAGGCATCCGCGGAAGATGATATTAAAACGGGAGGGTCGCGCATAGTATGGGCACATACTGCCAAAGTTTCAGCCTTGTAGCTTTTCTGGTTCTCGAGTTGAAAGTGGGTGACAAAAAGTGCGAACATACACACAGCCTCTTCCCAATGTGCGTTTTTGCAATTTGCGTATATGCAAAAACGCATAATAACGGCTCGCACCGGGGCGGCCGGTGCGATCATGCCTATTGCGCAGTTCCGCCTAGCAAACGTTTCCCTGCTAGGGACTTCCATTGCTTTGCACTTTGGTCTGTGCAGAAATAGTTGAAATGTTGTTTGGCCCCTAGGTTGCGAAATTTCCCGCTAAAACCTTCACGGTGAACATCCTTCCAAAATCAACCCTCTGATTTTTTGGCGTTTGAGTAATTTTCGCGCCAAAACTTTTACGCGGTCGTGCGTGAGAACTCGGCATATTTGGGAACTGAATTTCAATTTTTGTGGCCCCTGCATAGGCAGGAAACATCTTCCTGAAATTTTCAGCCCCCTCCCTCTTGATTCCGGGTGATATTTTTCCCACCAAAACACCCAGAGGGACGTTGAGGCTCAGACGCGCGTGAAAGCCGAATTTGAATTTGCGGGTTCGCACGTGGACAAGGAACAATATCTTAAAATTTCAAGTTCCCAGCTTTCGTGGTTCTCAAGATAATGTTCCCCACCAAAATTTTCACGTGATCGTACGAGGTATCCAGAACTAGCAGAAAGCTGGACTTAAAGTTGCGGAGTTATCAGGGGACATTACCATAAAATTCCAGCTTCCTAGTTTTTATGGTTCCTGAGGTAACAGTTTTCTCCGCCAAAACTTTCACGAGGCCGTATGTGATACCCGAATGCGGGGGAAGGCTGAATTTAAATTTGCAGACCGTACGCAGACAAAGATCATTGCCCTAAAAGCCCAGCTTCCTAGCTTTTATAATTCCCAAAATAATAACTTTCTCCACCAAAACTTTCATGAAGCCGTACGTAGTACCCAGGCGCGCGGGGGAGTTGAAATTAAGGCTACGGAACCACACTTGGATAGGGGTCAATACTGTGTAACTCCAACTTCCAAGCTTCCGTAATTCCTGAGATACAACTTTACCCGCCAAACTTCTACGGGTAGCACCTGGTACTTGGGGGCAGGAGAAGCTGAAATCAGACTTGCGGAGTCACGTGGGAAGGGGGACATTCCCCTAAAACTCCAGCTTCCTAGCTTTTCTGGTTCTCGAGTTGAAAGTTGC